TATTACAAGTCGTAACTCCGTTATCGGTGCATTTGGAAGAAAATGTCAAAGGGAAATGGTGATTGGTTCGAAGAATACTATATTCGTAGGACCATATTCTGTTGAAAAGTGAAATGGTGCATAATCGATAGTTGGCATTACTTTTTTTAAGTAGAAACTCTCAGACAGAAACGGAGAAAGGTTAACGTTAATTGAAAGAAAAAGGATAAGCAGCGACGATGAATAATAAATGCACAATACACCAGTTCGTTATCTTAACTACACGTTTCTTGCATTTAGGTGTTAACACAATTGTAACACGCTCCGTACGTTCACTTCAGCGAGTCTCCAATGTTTTAAGCCACCTTTCAAGAATCACCCTGCTACTTCCTGACGACGCGTTTCTTCGATTTCTCTAATTCCCAGTATAACACACTATTCACCTACTTATCGACGTTCAACCATCCGGCCATGAATGCACGCTCGCACTCGCATCAAACCAACGAAAATACTTTACGGGTACTTGGAAAGTTTGCAGACTCTACCATCGACGACCCTGAAAAACGTTAGACTCATTCCGTTCGTGTGCAACGTACATAACGTGATATTAAGTCTGTGTACGGATACACGTGGACGCGAATAAATATGACGTGCGCGAGTGACACGATACATGCCATCGGTATTATGCTGGCTGGGATTGTTGTGCCATTTCTCGTTTAACCAGCACGCAACTCCACGGGCAGCCAGACTTCGAAGATTATTAGAAGCCAAGACTCGAACTTGCATAGCAAACACGACGATGCAAACAGCTTCTGTCGCCGTGATAAGGTTGATAAGACCGGTAAGAGTCTCGGAACGATCGTATCACGGTAACGAGAAACTTCGAGACGCGAAACGCGTTCCTTTTGCGGAAAGGGTCTGTCATTGTTTTCCACCTCGAAACGCTCGAACTCTTTGTGATTGGTTGGGTTAAAATCTATTCCCCTTGTTGCATAACTTTCATGTTTTATTTAAAGCTTTATGTTCAGTTGGTAACACTGCGAACTAACGCTAAGTGTTAAATAAATGAAAAGAAAAATTTATGAGAGTCAAGAGGTAACTAAGTTGTCCGCTCTGTTGCGAAGTTTTATCTTTCGATGATTCCTCTTTCCTTTTTCTTAAAAATTCATTATCTGACAGTAAATCGTTTTATAATAAGAAATAAACGTGTCATTTGATGCGACTGTCTTCAATACAAAATTCGATATCTTTATTCCCTGACATTTCAAGTATGAAACAGCATAGTTTAGGACGACTGGCACGAGCAGAAGGAACGAGTTATAGACAGACTCGTTCGCCAAGTCGTAGATACTCGGGCAATTTTGATATTCAAGGAAAGAAAATAATTCTGAAAATACTCCATTTTTATTGAAGACAGTCACATAATGAAACAATCTTCGAAATAGGCATAGGTTTCTGTGCGAACCATTCTTAAAAATCGATAAAAAATCATTTCATTTCTATGTGACACTAAATTTCAAATTGATAAGAAACTGGTTAATGCAACTCTTCTTAATAATTTAATCCCAGATGAAATTTAACTCGTATCCGATCGATTAGTATCTAATCCATCGCCGAGGATTACAAGTAGAAATAGTGTAAGTAGAATCAGTGAGTAATGAACAGGTACGAAAATGCTTAAAACCTTCTTTGGAAATTGTTTAAAAGAGGAAACGAGACGAACAGTTCCTGTAAGAGCTTAGCAATTTCTCTGACGACCACTCGAAATTTCAGAGGGCACAGTCGAATTCGTATAAACGAATACTGGACGGTGGTCGTGAAAGACTGAAAATGATCGGAGAGGAGTCAAGGACACCTTGAATTCTTAATGAATCGTTTCGATACCGTTGGCGCGGCCTCGTCGTATGGCAGTAGGATGGAACTCTGAGTATGTGGGACGCCACGTATGGTCCCGGTCATCGGGATGATCATGTATGGGCATCCAACGTGTGCTTAGTTCGTAGGGGACGTGCTCGACCGTATCGAAACTATGCCATCAGCGACGAGAATCGTTCAAGTTTTTCGTCGATCGTCGTCTCTAGTAAAAAAAAAAACCGGTTCCATCTGCGTATTCTTAATGTCACCGATACATTCGTGGAAATTCGTAAAAAATGTAGAAAAGTAACGAAATGATCGCTCTATTCTGTTTCTAAGTTATTTATTAAATTGTATATTTTTTTTAATGTAATTTTTAATTACATATTATTTTTTCAAAATAATGAATTCAAATGAACATTACGGAACGTATTATCATAGACGTAGATTTCATTCAACGACATGTACAATGCATAAATTGGTACATCCTTGGAGTAATTGTTTCTATTAGCGCAATTTTCGCACGTCTAAGAGAGTTAAATCGTTTCGACGAGTTAAAATAATAATGCGATGATACCATCCAGTTTTGAAAATTCAAAAACTGGACTTAGGAAGGTTATTTATTGACATCTAGGAATTCGTACCTTTCCTGTACTCGATTAAAATAATTCAATCGACGATAATTCGGATAATCCAGTTGTGACGTGCATTGGTCACCGTGGAATCCTCGTGAGAAAAAGATGGCAACGCCGCAACTTTGTCAATTTAAGATATGTTTAAACACAAAAATGTCGACGCACGCACTAAGGAACGTTCTTTCAAATATCCTAAAACTTCTTACCAGAAAATTTCCCCCTCAAAGAGCAACAGAATTTCTATGGCTGCTACTGTAAGTGCTTGCCAAGGAGATGATTCGATTTATCGGCTTCATGGAGCCCACGTGCTGGTGGTTCCACAGGCGTGGCTAATAACTGGGAACAAGCGGTTCGTTTTGCAAACTTATTAACGCGGAACGATCGCGACGCGCTAATCTCGCCTTGTCTGGCATTTAAACATTGTAAACCCATGTTCGCTATATAATATATTCGTCGAGAAACGTATTCAGGAGACAGCAGGAGCCTCGCAAAGTGACAGCACGGTGTATTTGATTTCCACCTGTTGGTAATTCGATAGGGCTGGTTGCAGAGTCACCATTGGTTTGGTCACGCATACTTTTTCTTATGTTTGCGCGCCCAGTAGACCGTTACTCAAAGGACAGGTTTTCTGTTCGTCCATGAAATCTACTTTTACGCCCGCGTGTGTGTCAATATTCCTTTAAGAAGTTAAAAGAAACATCGTTTTATTAAATCTCGAAGAATCAATTGCAAAGAATGAATTTCCTCGTTTAAATTTCGGTTCGTAGGTTGTCAATGGAATTATTAAAGAATTTATTAAATACACAGGAAGTGGAATCGTGGAAACAGACGAGGTCTTTACGTGGCAAGGTTAGACTGAATCGATACGTGCAATTATACTCTTTTTTTGCTTATATGCCGTAACTATTCTGCTCGGTACTATAACTATACATCGTCCATAGGTCGAAAGTAAGCAGTGCTTCATTTGCAACGAGTAAATGGGCTAAACGTCGCCGGGCGTGTCTCCGACTGCACGTGCGTGAACCACCAAAGAGAAACGATGCTTACCGATGCTGATCACCTAACGGTATCGTCGATTTCGACAGGGCCCGTTGCAAGAGACGATCGGGCCGAAAAACTGTTCTTAATGACAGACGTTAACGGATATTAACGCGACGTCGTAATTTCGTGCATAGGAACTGGCCATCTCTATTCCTTCGGGATATTTTGTTAACCGTTCCGTAAAGAGATTACCGTTACGCGGTTATGCCGTTGCAGGTAAGTTCAACGTCACGGTGAAAATCCGCGCAATCCTATGGCTACGCGTGCTACCTTCTTCGCACAGAATATCAGATGCATTAAGGCGGTACTCCTTCAGTTTTACCAGTTTCGAGACAATTTCCATGATTTTCTTCGTGCCAAAGTAATTGATACAAACATACGAAATTTGGTAAGATTAATTTATTTTCAAGTTACGTGTAACATTCAACGACACGTCATACAAACTGAACTCGCAATGTTAACGCGTTGGCTGCTCGACTAGAATACGTGAAAATTTCTATAAAGTTAAAATTTTGTCTCGAGACTGTTGAAAGTTAGACAATGTAACATCTATCGTAGAATTGAATTTCTTGAAAAGATCTTTTTTTAATTTCATAAACTTCGCATGAACATCGTGTAAAAGGGCGAAGTCTGGGCTTGTATTAATTTCCTTGGAATTAATTCCCAAAGAAGACTTCACTTTGGACCAATTACCTAATACTCTCAAGAATATCAGATATTTATCGTCTCAACTACATATCATGGTCTGCGACAGGAAAAACTGTTTTTCCTGTTACAAAATGCGCCCCACGGACAGCGTCGAAATCACGGAACGCTCGAAAAAATCCGCGTTTAAAATAACAATGCCGCATAAAAGATACGAGACCGTCATGACGCCAAGAACAATGCCGAATGCGTGCCAAAGTTTAATATGATGAATGACATCATAGAAAATACGTGTTCGCGCGTGTCGGATAAATTACGAGGGACGGTAATAACTCTAATTTAAAAAAAAATTCCTTAAAAGAAAACAAAGAATAACGAGAATAAACTATACAACAGCTAAATAGCTAACATTTTTTCTGAGAATAAAAAATTACTGTAAATTTACTTGATGTAGAAAGCATAGCTGGTGCTTTTCTTAATTCGTATCCGTAGCTTGAATTCAAAATAAAGCATTCCAAATGCTCTTAATCCAGATACTATTAATCCAAATTACTTACAGAGATCAGATTCGTATTTAATTACGCTGAGAAGTGTATAACAGACTTCAAAATGCATACATATAATTTCGAAGCATTCACTAAATAAAACTAATCCTACTAATTCATTTTATCATCTGTACGAAGTGTCATATCACAGGTGACTTGACAATTCTTTAAAAAAAGAAACTAGTATTGTCCCGTCGGAGGTGACATCATAGCGCAAAGGATTGTTCTTCCTGGCTAACGTTCCCTATCACGCGAACCGGAAGACGATTAGCGAAATGACGCACGATATTATCCTACTCACCACTTGCACCAGCTTGATGATCCCGGGTATGGTCGTGAAGTAGGGTACATTCAATCTAATTCCTGCCAGAGGGTTCGGTTGACCCGGTTCCGTCTTCACCGTAGGTACCTGGCGAGGATTGTTGGTCGCGTTGTTGCTGGAACCGTCCATCGTCACAACGGTCTCCGACATCATATTACGTTTCCTTCACGGCGATGTGTAACCACGTACAACTTCAGACCAACGAATCTGTTCGTCAGTGAAAGGCACCCGACGTAAACACCACTCGAGAGAATCAAAAGAACCGGTACCACACGGAGCCGAACTCGAAACACCTGTTGGTTCACCACGACCCGCACGGAGGCCTCACCACTGAATACTACCAACGTATTAACCAGCGACCCGCTATATTCCCCCTCCGTTGATCTATTTTCCCCACCCTTGCCTTGACTCTTTCCTTAACATGTCAACCGAAGTCCAAACGTGAGACGCCAATCGCCACGTCCTGTACAACCAGTCGCAGATGTATTCATTCCTATTCCCTCGACTGTTCACTTCGGACGGTTCGCATTCTTGTTACATACAGTGGCTCCAAAAAATGTCCACGCTTCTATTCCCCTTTGCACGGTGTATCGAAGAAAAGAGCGCTCCGAGCATATTTTCATTTAAAGTTTGATGACATCATATTTATAATGAATATTATTTATAAACTAAACGAGGTGTCGTCTAAAATCATTTTTCAAATAGTCAGAGATCTGTGTTTGTTATAATTGTAAGCAAGCTGTAGAGTCGAAGGCCAGAAAGGACTTCTTCATTCATTTTTAAATAAATGTAACTTCTAAACTAAACATGATAGAGGATTGGGGTTTGCAATCGTAATCTTCCGAAGGAAAGGAATGTGTATAAAGGAAAAATTGCGTAATATCGTGTTTAGTTATGATTCATTGACTAGTTTAATAAGTATAAGATAATGGCATCCGTAGTTGCCGTCAAGAGGGGGAAACGTCATTAGGAGACCAATTATTAAGTGTTCTTTGGGATTTTCTTTTACAAAGAAGAAATATGTAATTATTTCAATTTATATTCGACATATTTTCTAATAATAAGTATTACTATTCAAATAGTGATTCTAATATCAGCTGCGCCATCGTTGGGAAAACGCCCAAGTTTGTAGTGAAAATAGTTCCCAATGTTGGTACTAAATGGCACCACTAGTTCAAGGGTCGATAACATAATGATTAATTTGACATAATAACACAGGCTCTCTTATCATTTTATTATTTTATACATCTGTTATTTTATTTAAATTTAAGTTACCTTTAGGAGAAATAAGTTTACCTTACGTTCATTACAAATAGTGATTATACGTTCACGTTTGAACTTATGCGTAATAATACAAACAGTATTCCTTACAGGTGTCGTAATAGGCGAATTTATTTAAACATATCGATGGCTTCATCTTACAGAAACGGTGGAAACTATTTTCAGTACAAACTTGGGAGTTTTCTCACCGATGGCGCCACTAGTATTAAAGCCGGTATTAGTATAGTTCAATGATTGGCTGCTTGTAAACTCACCCGCTTACAGAACGGCTTCGTGAACGGTGGATGCATAGTGATCGAAACACCAAAAATTTCGACAAGAGTTTCAACTCTATAAGAGTACTCTATGGTACGATGTCATATGACTGGAGGAATCGATCCAATCGTTTGTTTGCGATTGTATATTGTACACAGCAATAGACCAATGAATCAGCTGTTGCGACGGAACTGACGTTTCGCTATCCACTTCAGTCCACTTCTAAGAAGTGTTGTCATTGTGTGTCATCATTTGTGGCTTATCAATTCTATTCGAAAAATACCTGCGGTACGTCTGAAATTCTGCCATTTGCATCTTGTTTACATAACATAGTGCAATTACTATTCGGGAGCTTCCTTATTACAAGCCAAGAGTTGCATTTTATTAACTACATTTAAAAGGTAAAATATGAGAACTTATTTGTAACTCCAAAGTTTGTTAAATATGCGGCATATTCATTAGATTGGTATGCAGATAATCATCTGCTGAACATTAGTCCCATATGTGTTATCACTGAATGTTTCTCATTGTTTCCATATTATTACATTTCAAAGTAAAACAAAAATTTTCAGATCAATTCATTTAATTATTTTTATCCAATTAATTTGTGCATGTTTATTTATAGAAAAATCTGTACAAAATGTCTCTGTATCCTACTCTTGAAGATATGAAAGTGGACCACATGATGAAGGTAAATCATAGAATTTCAACATTTGGTTGCAGAATTACAAATAATATAAAAATATTTCATCTATAGGCTGAACAGCTGCTAGCAGAGTCACAATACCCTGATATTCCCACCATACCATACGAACAACATAATGTTCTGCCATCTGCACCTGCCTATAATCCATCTAGTATTTTGTATCCTTCGCTAGGAGAATACATGGGGATGGAGCTTACAGAGGAAGTGATAGCACAGAATATGCCTGAATATGCTCTTGTGAATCGTAAAAGTGTAAGTAACATGGCATTAAATATATAATTATAAACATATTAAAGTCTAATTTTACATTTCAGATGGAAATTAGTATACCTGCGCCATCAGGACCATTAGCAGGCATGGTTGCACCATTATCTGGAGAATCCTTAGGATTGCAAAGGGCACAAGTTACAAATGGTATAAGACAGGTAAGTAATTTCATGTGTATGCATATCTATATATGTAAGAAACAATTATTGCAGCTGCTGTTCTGGTATTATTACTTGATTATTATAGATAATATTATGCAAAGACAGAAATGGTAAAATTGGCTTAAGAGTACATGCTGTGAGCAATGGTATCTTTGTGTGTCTTGTAAGTCAGAATTCTCCAGCTGCACTTGCTGGATTACGATTCGGCGATCAAATTTTAAGTATCAACGACGAATACGTCGCTGGATATACGATGGAACAAGTTCATAAAATGCTGAGAAATGCCGATGTAAACGGGATCAGAGTCGGTATACGCGACAGGTTAAATAATTTGTTTTTAATTTTTAAATGTTTATAATGTTCTTAAATTGCAAAGAAAGTGAACGTTTCTTATAATTTAAATATTGCTACTAAATTCATTTCAGACCATTTGAACGTACAGTAACCATGCACAAAAACAGCAATGGACATATCGGATTTCAGTTTAAAAATGGAAAGATAATTGCATTGATTAAAGATTCCTCAGCCGCTCGAAATGGGCTACTAACGGATCATCAAATAGTAGAAGTTAACGGAAAGGTATATTACAAACTTATGGATCGACGAATTTGATTCGATCGGTAAAATACATAAATTTTAAGTTTATGTAAAATGTTTCAGAATGTTATCGGACTGAAAGATAAAGAAATCACGGCGGAGATTGAAAATGGTGGAAACATTATTACCGTAACAATTATTCCGTCGTATATGTATGATCACATGATTAAAAAGTACGTTCATGTTAAAATATAATAACATATTTAATTGTATGAAATCACAAATACTAACAAAAAAATTTTCTTTCAGAATGAATACCAGTTTATTAAAAACACTCATGGATCATTCTATACCAGATGTTTAAGCGGACGTAAATCCATCCGCGATATCCATTCAAATGATTGACGACTTCAAATTTGCTTTAATACTATGCAGATCTACACACGATACCTTACGCATTTTTCGTCGATAGAAGAAATGCTTAACATAAGCATTAAATTACAAGTACAACGGTGTTTATATTTACTGCATTGGTTACATAGTTAATATATTACTTCATAATAATCGGATTCTTTTTTAACTAAGAATTTGATAAAAGCAGTTTGATGTTATCCATCATTTCAGTTATGTTTATGTTGTGAAATGAATTTTTAAATCGCACACACGTTTATGGCCAATGAATATTTAATAATTATTAATTGAATTAATTTCAAATATTACGTATTTATAATTGCATTTTTAGGACCAAAGTATATATATTTTTAATAGATTGGTTATGATAATTATCTCTTCATGAAATAAGATCGTAATTATAATAGCAATTATATACAAATTAGATGGAATATATATAGTTACTGTTTACTCTTGGATTATGACCATCGTCTTACCGAATTATATATGACCATATGTATTAATAGTTGTATGTTTTAAAAGTCTCTATAACGTTAATACTTTTCTATGCAGTTTTATCTTGTACATATATCTATATATGAATACTTATCTCGACAATGTTATTGCAATCTTTATTTTATTATACTAAACTATATGTGTAATCACTATTCTGGAACATAGTACTGTAATCAGTAAGTTTTATACCCATTTTGTTTATTAATGTGCCAATGTTATGATCTATAAGTTATATAGCTTAAGACAACAATAAAGTATTATACACAAAAAAGTTTTCAAAGTTTCTTGTTTATTATTCCTCTACACTACACAAAGGCTCTGCTAGTAAATAGTGGCTAGTAAGTTTTCAGTTACGCTGCGTAACTTACGCACGCGTGTTTATACTTCATTCAACTTACGCACGCGTGTTTGATCTATTTTGAACATGGTAGTTTCTGATTACCATGTTGCTTGCGTAGCAAGCAGAATTGAGAGAGTGTGATGTTATGTGGAGTATATCGGATTTAATTATCGGGTTCAAGATTCGTCATACAGCTGTTACATTACAGTAAGAAGGGTTATCGTTACCTGTGCGACTTGAATATTTCTTATCTACGCTGGAAGCTTGCCAAAAAGCAAGAGGGGATGCTTTTGACATATTATATTCCCCTCAAACGGCAAAAATTAATGGACACGTGTGTACCATTAGGGTAGTGAGTGACATAAATGCGCTCGGCTATCAGTGTTATTTTGTCGAGTCCGGTACCCGACAATAAAATGTCTCATCCCGATTACGAGCAAACTGCTCACGATCATGCGGCCCTACTTTTGCTCCTGAGGCCCATTGGTACACAAATCAAACAAAAAACTGTCACCAGGTTATGCGAACGAATAATTAAAGCAGGTAGCAGATTTACTGTCGCCGATTCTACAGGTGGAACCCGTGAAATCATTGCTAGATTTGTCAAAGAACATCCAGTGGAAAACAATGATTGGGGAGATTTTCAAACGCACAGAAGACTATTAGGATTAATCACATTTGGAAAATATGACAACCAAGCTGAACTCAACGAATTATGTAGAGTTCACGAAACCTTAAAAGTAAAATACACTGCAACACTATATGATTCACGTGCTATACTTTTTGGGCCGGTGGAATCAAACAATCCACACGAACCACCACTGTCATTTAGCACTCCTTCAAACTTCAAAACACGTGGTGTATTTTATACCGATGAGGTCTGCTCTGATCTTGAAGTTC